GAAAGCTTTTGGTCATTGCTAGACATTTTGTCGTCTACGAGACTGCTTCTATCTCGAAAGATGTTTATCAGTATGATCCGCGTCTGAACAGTTAAATCTTTCTCTTTCTTTCAGATTGTTGGACAATTGCTTATCAGAATTTGAGTTACGCTGGACAATTTTGTTCTGGATGATATATGTTATGTATTATATAACCCACACTCATGTTTTTGAATAATTGAGACATCCGAGAGATGTTGTTGAGATCATGTCTCAAAATAGGATGATCAAATAATTGCATATCCTTTTAGTTGCATTTGCTCCATCTACTGTCCGCCCATCTATCAAAACTAGATTCTAACACTATACGACACAAATAGTTTTCTGGTGAACTGTATGTATCTCCCGTCGTGAGCCCGTTGGTTTTGCTCCTCTTTATTTTACTTTCTGTTTAACATTAATATTTTCTAAGTCAGTTACTTGACTTGATTCACCAAACACTTTCCAAACCATACATGTTTACCTCAGGTGTAGCAAACTCGCGCATGAATGTCGCACTCTATGACCTTACGTTTGTTGTGAATTGTAATGGACGGGTGGGTGTATGCGTCGGGGGGTGTGGGCACAAAGAGAGTCCCTCTCGTGTGCGGAGGTGTATGATCAAGGGCCTTCGTTGTCCGTGTTAGGGCTGCTTCGCGTGTGGGTTTGAGGGTTGGGTGTATGTGTTGGGCAGGTTGTCGAGTTTCACGATTGGAAACTCGTGGTCAGTGGATTTGTACAGCCCTGGGACCCGTGCGTTACTGCACATGAAGAAGGGGTGCATCATGTTGATAGCTCAAGCAGTGCTTGTGAGAGATTCTGCTGTATGGACTGGAAAAATCTGCTGTATGGACTGGAAAAATAAGCGGCGACTAGCGTTGTTCACACCCATGGAAAGATTCTGCCTATCAAATCATTTTATCTGCCCCAAATGCTCATGAACTAATGTACAAGCTCGAGGTACAACATGCTTTCATTCCGTAGAGTTGTGATTCTTTAAAACTAATTAATTTATATTTTAATTATCAGATTATTTTTATATCATTTTAAAACATCACATGCCTTATAATTGTAAGATTATGTTACATAATCATATGAGATTGCATTAAAGATAAGTTGGGAGATGGAGCAACAATATGGATACACCACAAGATCTTCAGAAATTGGTCGTTGAATTTGCAGTGTCAAAGTCAAAGGCTTCCTAAAGTTTTTTTTCATGGGCTAAAGTAAATATATGAAATTTATTATCACCTAGAAACAGTGGGGACAAGATAGATGTCAATATCTTTAAGCCTAGGTGATTGATATATTGGTTTTAGTTCAGCAGTATTTTTTAAGTTATTACTATGGATTTTAATAGAATTATTGTTTCAGCGGTCTCATAAGAGGCTGGTGGTGTTCACACCCATAATTCAGTTGCATGTGACGTGTTGTCGGTTGCTCGGAGGCTTGCGGGTTAGGGAGATGGCATCGGTTGTCAAGGACGTGACTACCTATGCACATGGTTAAGATTATTAAATGTCAATAAATTACTGTTGGGAGGAGCTTTTAATGGAAGCTATCATGTAAATCAAATAGAGGAACAAGAAACTGTAGTATGTACTTAGTGTATTATATAATTTTTTGGGCTGCTTGATCAAATGGAACTGTGTTCATTCTTTCCCTTTTTGTCTTATTATCTACAACTATTTTCTAGAGATGTAATTGGATGGTTTTCAAGTCTGGGGAGCTATTTTTTGGAGTTATCTGATATATACTTTGCCTTTTCTTTGTGTAACTGGTAAAACTTCTGTCTTGATGTATATTTTTCACGAAAATGTGTTTGTTGTATCAAGGATGATGGTTCTTGACTGCCGCAAGTGTTGGAAGGCTGCTCTTGCTGACCTTAAAGCCAGTTTAGTAAGTCAGTAATGTTTTAAACTGAATGTATTGAATGTTCAACTGGTGAAAATTCGTGGTGCCAAGAATTTGAGATTTGGATATACATTATAATGGTTTTGAATACTTGCCAGTACATTGTGTGGGAGGGGTTATATAATATTTAAATATTGTGTTATTTTATGTTTTCGTTATTTTGTTCATTGTGTTCAAGTTTTAGAATTTGTGTTTGTCGGTATTAGAAAATGAACAATTGTTGCTGACTTTGTTTTTAAATTGAATAGAATGTAATTTATTATCAGTTATGTGCGCCGTACGAGTTGTATACGAATTTCGATATAAATATTTTATGTAAATTTGCATAAATTATCTCATATAACATTTGAAATAAATTAATATAGGGACCGGGTGTATTAGAGTATGCTTGGATACAAATCTACTCCAAAAAATCTAAACATTTTTAACTCAACAACTTTTTCTAACTCAACATTACTCAACTCCACTATCATCAATATTATCAATATAATTAAAAATATTAACCTTAATTCACTATTCATCCACTCATATAATTTTAACTAACCATCACTTCAAATCATCTCTCTCTTACTTTTACATCATATCAACTTTAATTAATTTATTTTAAATATTACTTTAATATACTCACTAACAACTAACCATACCACATTTTTCAAAATTAACCAAACCAAACCAAAAAAATCCAATCAAATAAAAAAATTTATATCCAAGCATCTTGAGTTCAAATTTTTAGTTTATTAATATTATTTAATAAAAAAATTCAATTTATAAATATTAATGAATATATGTTAACCGTGCATCGCACGGGCTCTACACTAATCTTTACTAAAATTAAAAAAAAAACTTTATTTATTATCTAATTGTATGAAAATCTGTTCTCATGTTGTTCAAACCAATTTCTGTATATTCAGATTCAACTTTTCTAATAAAAATATTAACAACAATATATATCTACTCTACCCATTATAAATTACAAATCTCAAAATATCGAGCCATCATCTTCCTCACTGTCAACCTCCTGCGAACAAAAAATATCCACAATCAGTCTTTTATTCAAAATAATGAATCAAGGATTTGGGTTAATCAAACAAGTCAATAGGTCTAATAGACCTATGCTCAAAGTTTGAAGTGTAAGAATGTTTTTCCAAAATTGGGCAGCACATACAAATCATATCTCGAGTTGGTTCTGCATGATAAAAATGTAAGCCAAATTATTTGAATTTTTATTTTAATTTTGGAATTTGAAACTTATATTTTATTTTTTATTTTTTTTTTCGTATATATATTTAGATATTTTTGTAAATGTTTAGTAAAATATATTTTTAATTTTTTAATTATATTTTCAAATTTGTAATTTGGCTTATTTATTCTACATATCGTGTATGTATTTAGATATTTACATTATTTATATTTATTTTCGTATATTTTAAAATTTTTCTTGAATATTGCATCTTATAGTATAATAATCCCAAATAAATATATCTCGTGTCTCGCACAGGTCACGTACTATATATATCCCATACATTTTTCTTTATTCATTTATATGATAAAAAGGCTGGATAAATGACCTTAAAATCGTGCACCCCGTGCATCGCACGGGCTCTGTACTAGTTATATATGTAAAACTGATAAAAATATTAAAGTTATTAACTTTTACCATACATTTACAATTTAATGGTTATAATAAGAGATTATATTACAATGCAATTAATACATATAACATGACCATAAATAATCAATATATTTATGAATAATCCGAATCTAATTATTTTTTGATTGGAAATAAATTAATAACTACTCAAACCAAATAACGAAGCATGTAATTTTGTCACATATAATTTTAAAACATGCGAATCTGCCACTTAAGCTCCCACGTTTTGATTAATATATAAGGGGTATTTAATTTTGATGGTTTTGGCCATCAGCTTCGGCCGTTATTGCCCTTATTTTACCA